TACCATGAAAGTCAAGGGCTCCTCCAGGACGCTTGCGGGGATACCAATTGTGATCCGGTGGAACAAGCTAAGCTTTATTAACTTTAGATTTGCGGATAGAAAATAATTCAGAGTAAGTGAGGGCCGTGTTTGGAGAGGCCGGAAGGGAAGTACCTTCTTTTGCTAACTGATCAGCACGTCCGTTGCCAAAAAAGACCAACGTGTGAGGGTATCCACTGAATATGGATGCCATGGGAGGCTGAGAGGGCATTTAATAAACGAAGTATAGAGACCCCATTCCGGTCCGTTACTCTCTCCCAATTGCTCAGGTGCTGAATACAGCTACGACTGTCCGTGAAGATCCAGACATTCCGAAAAGTGGCTCTAGTCCTGATAATTTCCAGACCTGCTTGAATAGCAATAAGTTCACTGCGAAACATTGAACAAAAAATTGGGTTTCTTAGTGATCTTGATTTGTGAACTTCAGCAGGATATATAGTGCAAATTCCACTGCGGCGTGGTTACCGCTACCACCAGTATAGATTTTAAGATCGTCAGCAGGGACAAAGTTTATTATATCCAAAGCCAATTGCTTCAAGTACTCTGGAGGCTGGTTGCCCATAGTAACCTCAGAGAGCAGTGTAGTATGGAAAAACACATACAGGACTGCAGATGAATTGCGGATCAACATTGAACTCTACTGCATCAAGCGAAAGGGCCCGAGAAAGAGGGCTGTTCTTTTTTAATCTTTGATAATTTTGCCAATTAAGCAAAAATTCAACTGTTCGATTCTGAGTACCCAAGCTAGCCAATTTCGCATAGTATTTAACAAGGTTAGATTCCCTTCTCATTTCCAAGGGCTATAAATTTGTTTTATATAGTAGAATATGACTCGGGCAGCTATTACGCAATCCAGAAATAATTCTGGCTGCACTATGCTGAACTTTTTCAAGCTTCTGGAGATTATTGGCCGAAGCACAGGAGTAGACCTGGAAACCATATTCCAATATGGGTCTCAGGAGGGCAGTATAGGTTGTTCTAAGGGTGGCTGAGTCGGCCCCCCAGTCCCTGCCTGAGATATACTTTAGAATATTGAGACGACTTCTACTCCTGTTAACCAGGGAGTCAATGTGCCTATTACAATGAAACTCTGGGTCTACAATAAAACCCAAGTATTTGGGGGTTTTTGTCATGAGGCATCCGAACCCCGCCAATGGAAATCTGAGGTTGGTAGTTGTATAAACGTCTATTTGTGGTAAAAAATGAAGTAACCGATTTTAAGGCATTGAAAACAAGTTTGTGGTCGGCCGCAAAATCACTTATAGATTGCAATGACTGATTTAAATGCAATACCAAGGAATCAATATCCCGGCCACAGACCACAGCGCAATGTCATCGACAAAGATGGCAATATTGCAGGTAACAGAAATCCTATTCCCAACACCAGATAAAAACAAGTTAAAAAGAGTAGGACTTGTCAGAGCTATAGGTCTATGGCTTTCGGAAGAATCGGCAGGCTTGCCAGGCTTTCTGATAGGTATAACGAGGGCTCTCTTCCAATCACGGTAAAGTCTACCATTCTTCCAAGATAAATTAAAGACAGCCAACAGCTGTTATCACCTTGTACGAAAACAGCTATAATTTTGTTAATAATTAGAGCACCAGCAAAAGTAAAGTGATTTTAAAAAGCTGAATACAAGAATTATAAATTTATAATAAAGTCAATTTCAAAAATTTCGCCCAAAATCATGTTTATACACTAGTCAGACTCTTTAAACATATATTGGCAATAATTTATCAAACGAGTATTATAAAAGTTTAGCAATTCAAACAGGAAATTGTTTTTATCTCACGTGAATTAAGTTATTTTATCTTTTAAAAAAATACATATATATCAGACGAAGTTAAAGACAAAAGTATGCATAGTTAAGTGTTGAAAAATACTTTTTTTTATGATTTGTATTAAAAAAATTACATTATAAAATGAACTTAAACATTAAAAAAGGACTGTCATACTCCGTCAAAATCTTGGTTTTAAAACATATTATCATAGGACCTTATTAAACATAGGGTAATTTTTGTTCAAAAAGCATTTTTAAAGTTTACAAAAAAACATTAAAGACTTTGAAAAGCTTATTTTTACTTTTGTAATGAAAAAAGTAATCCTTACAAAATGTATGTTTTTCATAAAAATTTGGAAGTTAATTTAAATATTTCTCGCGAATTAATGTTAGTTATAAATTAAAACTCAATATACTTTTCTAGATTTTTTTTCTAAAATTTGAATTTATGTAAGGTGAGTATTGATAGAAATCTTAGATCATGCTAATTAGTTCTTAACCGTACGCATTTGTTTCAGTGTCTTATTAAATCTTAAAAAGGTTTCAAGTTTAAAAATGTTATCACTCAAATAATTTTAATTTTAACTTTTAATTACTCGATACATAAATTCAGTTTCAACGTAAAAATGGTTTTATCTAACACCTTATTAAAATTTCAACAGATTTGATAATATTATGAAAGCGTACAAAGCTTAAAGGTATGTACAAAATTCCTATTCAACTATATAGCTAGTAGCAGTTTGGGCGAAAGCTAGTAAAGTGGATTTAGTTTACTTAAAAAGGTTAAAAAATATTTTGGTTATTTCAGTTTTGAGTGTTGCAATTATGATTATGGTAAATCTTGATTATCATAATTTTATTGTTATGAAGGCAATTACTGAGGGAGTATCATAATTTCCATTATAGAAGAAAAACTGAATGATTGACTAATAGATATTGTTATGATTTTAATGAATTTTATACCAATGGCAGTTGAAAATATCCGTTTATTAAATCTTTTTTGTTTATTAAATTGTCTTTTTTGTTTATTTTGTTCGTTTATTTACCTTTTTTGTTCATTAAATAGCACATTATCTGTTATCTTATCAAATGAGTGGTGTGATATGTTCATTGTATTTTATAATGCATGTAAATCTTATACATAATAAAATACGTAATACGTACATAAATAAAATACGGCATGCATAAATATAATATTATTTCCAGCTCATTAATTAGAATGAAATTACTTCGAGAATAAAAAATATATTATTATAAGCTTCCTAAAAATTAACATGCATTATATGTAGAAAATAGAGATAAACGGAATTTTAATTAGCAATATTTAAGACAATTAATTAAATGGAAGTCATTTCTAATGAAATAAATTAAGAACTAAATATTAGAGTAAACATCATTTTGCTGAAAAAACAACAACTTGGTATTACACGAATAAGTAACTCTCAATACATAGTAATATATTTAAACACTATTTTAAGTTTATTTTATAAATTAATTATTTCAAAACAAGCATGGATTATTTGATTTGATTTGAAATTTAAAGCCTTTTGAATTCTTAAGATGCAGGGAAGATAATCCATTTTGAAGCATTTTATAAAATACGTTTATTTATATAGACTTTGATTGTTTACTCAATTTTAAATGCCCAGGGAAACCTTAATTAGGAAATATATTAAAAAATAATTTTCAGTATTTTCTTTAGCAGGATTTACTGAAGTATTATAAGTTACTTACTAAATCTAATTAGGTTGGATTAATCTTAGAATAAATTTAAGTTTCATGTTTTAAAAAATGTAATTTATTTTTTAGAGTATAAAGATTAACAAATGAAGTTCTTTAAAAGTGTAATTTTTTTATAAAAACGATGCCTGCATCAAGCCCATCATGAAGTTCTTTTTAAAAAAATAAATAAATTTTTATTCCTACAAGGATAACTATTGAGCTTTTTGTGATCTTTTTGTATTTCATTTTTTAAGGGAATGACGTTACCTTATGTCAAACAAACGCATTTTTAGTACAATATTTAAAGTTTATGCTTAAAAAAAATAAAAGTGCCATGTTTTCTTGGTGGAAATGTTTCCAAGAAATAATATAGCAACATTTTATATGCATTGGTGAGCAAAATGAAAAACGGACCACCTTGAATAGCTTTTGATCAAATTATTGGATCTTCACGTTCTAGGACTCATTCTTAATGGTTTGAAAAGATTACTTCAAAAATGCTAATTAATTAGTGCAGATATTTTAAGTTACGAAATTAGACGCAAAACGTACTTCCACTGGATAAACATATGGTTTTTTCAACGGATTTAGAGTTGTAACCCCCAAGATAGAGGGCGTAGCCGCAATCTCGGAAATATGGTTCACACTGGTCAGGAGAGCGATCCAAAGTTTGAACCCCTTAATGTTAATTTTACGTTTTGCATATTTCTACATATCTCGAGAACTTCTTAAGCGAATTGAAAAATGTTTGCGCTTAATTATTAAGCTCGTTTATCCATTCAGGTTCCAAAATAACAGATCTGTCCAAATAACAGGTCCAAAATAACGGGTACTAAAATAACAGATTTGTTTATACCAAAATAATTTAATTGCTCAGTTCTTGATCAATTGAATTTTATATGCATGAAATTTTCGAAATTCAATTTATCAAAACCTATTCGACCGATTTTGCTCAAATTTTGTATTTTGCCATGTAAAATTACATTCTTTAAAATGATTTAAAAATTCTATAAAAAATTAAAAATTCTATTAATTCTATAACTTACAATTCAATTTTCTTCGACTGTATAACCAAGAGGTCACGACCTTTTTAACGTATTTGTCATAGTTGTAGTGATTGCAGCCGAAATGGTGTCTGAAATATCGGAAAAGATGAAAATCACTCAGCGCAAGGTCTGGGTTATAGCTAGGGTGGTCCAAAATTTCCCCGCAAAAAGAGTGCAATAACGCTGGGATCTGATCTGCGGAGAGTGTCATCGTCATAGAGTAGCAAAATTCCCTGCCAGCATGGCAGGGAATTTTGCTACTTCACAAAGCGTAACTTCACAAATCTGCCAGTGAATGTATACAGCAGACAGGTTTTCGGCCGACTAAACACTCATCACCGACTGTATTTCGTGCATGGAGGGGGATTTTTTAAATTTGCACATTTTAAAGACGCAGAACAGACAGTACAGTTTACCTACACAGATGCAACTGAGTACAGTTATTCCCAAGGAATGCCGGAATCATGCCTCTTGCGACGTCAACACAGTCTCTTTTTTGCATGAAATTGAGGTCTTTTGGCTCCAACTTCGCTGCCACACGACGGAGACCCAAATCATTAACCAAAATGTCTTGGACGGGTCCATAGGAAATGTTCAAGCTCTCTGCTATCTCTCTGATGGTTAATTTGTGGTTATTGACCAACATTTCTTTTAGTTTATCAATGTTTTCGTCGGTTTTCGAGGTCGATGATCTGCCACTGCGTTCATCATCTTCGATTGACTCACGACCACTTTTGAATCGCTCGTGCCACTGGTGAATAACCGTTTTCTTTAGAGAATCGTAGCCGAAACACTTTTCCAACATTTCCAACGTTCGCGCACCATTAAATCCTTTTCTTACGCGAAATTTAGTATAAATGTTGTTGCAAATTTGAATCCATTTCTAAAATTGTAAATAACCGCCAATACACACAGAGATAGATGTACTCTTGGTTACGTAACTTTTGCAAATGTCAAGCTATGATGCTAAGATTTAGAGGGAATATCAACAACAGATGCACCAACTTAACAAGGGAAAAAAAAGAAAGAAAAAAGAACTCAAATCGGAACGATGGTAGCGCCCCCGGGGGTTATTCCGGGAACTTTTTGATCAAGGTGGTAAGCACTCGTTGCAACACACGCGCCACAAATTGGTGAACACAACAAAACGGTCATTACTTAAAAAAAACCTCGTATATCTTTCCCATAACCAACACATCTTTTCTACTTCTATTTCTTGGGGTCATTTATTCCAAATAAAATGCTAGTTTAAAAAATTCTAATAACGTATTTACAAGACAGTATCTACAAATTATACAACAAGTTTCTAGTCTATATTTCAAGTTTTATGTCATTACTGATTCGCAGAAGATGAATATTGAAATTTTTGCACAAAATTGTCAAAAAAATATGTATATTAAACTTGAGTAAATGACATTATGACACGATTCTATAACTACGTCTTTTTATGTAAAACCTATTTTTCGATGATCTTTTATATTTTTAAAATACTAATTTAGGTACTATAAAATTAAGGTACTATAAAATTTAGGTACTATAAAATTTAGGTACTATAAAACTAAGTAGAATGAGATGGGCCGGGCATGTAGTGAGAATGAGCCCAGAACGAACAGCATTGAGAGTCTTTAAAGCAGCCTCCTCCAATAAAAGGCCAAGAGGAAGGCCAAAAAAGAGATGGAAGGACTGTGTGGATGAGGATTTTGCCATCCTAAAAGTAAAGAACTGGAAAACAATTGCTGGGAGAAGGGCAGAATAGGAAAAACGTTTGAGGAAGGCCCAGGTTTACAAAGGGCTGTCGTGCCAATGCTGATGATGATGAAAATCAAAATCGGTTTTATTTTTAACTACATTAAAACTGAAGCAGAATTGCATTGTTTCAGAACTTTGTGAAAAAATAAGAAACATTTAATATTTTCGAAGCCGCATATTTTTATAAATACATGTTAAGGTACATTAAGGATTTTGAGTATTTGCCGAATTAAATATTAACTTATTGCTCACATAACTTATATAATTTAAGTTGAATCTATAGCTATGAACTGAAGACTAACAAACCATAAAATACGAAAATCAACTAAAAATCATATAATTTTTTATATTTTTGACAGAGATATTGGTACGTTTGAATTATCAGATACTGGAAATAATTAGTAATATTTTAAGTAACAATTTTCTATGACAAAAATATGAAATAAGTAAACGATGTATTGCGATGTTATTTGTGATACAAGTTACATTTGATACAATTTCGTGTAATTTATATAGTAAATAACAGGAAACTATTTTAAACTTTCCTTTAATGTTGTTAAACGTTTGTTTGAAAACGCAAGCTAGAACAATGTTCTGGAAATTGTAATCATTTTTAATTTTAAATATTTATGAAATATGTCGGGAATTATTATTTTCGAATTATCTTTTTGTTTGAAATTTAAAGCTTTTGTTAACAGACGCTAATGCTTGAAACGAATGACATTTAGAATAATTTCTTACTCTTTGTTTTAATTTATTTCCTGAAAAGCATGTTATTTAAATGATTATATTTTTACAAGTCAAGCAAGAGCCATGAAGAAGATTATTTATTTTATCTATTCAGTTGAGAGCGTCGATATTTGCATAATTGCCTTGTATTTTGTATGAATATATCGCAATTTGTAACAGACTCTCACAAAATTTGGGGCACAGTGTGAAACAAATACAGAATTTTGTATTTCGCCTTGTAAAATTATGTTATTTAAAATGGTGTAAAAAATTATATACCTTAAAATTCAGAATTTTTTCGATAATTATTAAATAAAATAATAAAAAATAGCAAATATTTACTAAAATTCATTTTTTTCATTTCATTTTGGATAAACGAAATTAATAACGGTGTGGAAATTTTTTTTTCAATTCACTTAAAATTTTCTTGAGATAGGGCGAAATACGCAAAAAGCAAAATTAGCATTAAGTGGTTCAAACTTTAGACCACTCTCTTCACCAAACTATTGTCAGCATATTTTCCAAATTGCGGCTACCCCGAATATTCTGAAGGCTAGAAATCGGAATCCGTTAAAAAAAGGTATGCTTATTCAGAAAAAGTACGTTTTTGTGTCTGATTTTGTAACTTAAAATATCGTCTGCACTAAATAATTAGCTTATTTGAAGTCCCCCTCTTGAATCATTAAGATTGAGTACTAAAATGTGAAGACCAGATCATAAAATTAAAAGTTATTCAGGGTGGTCCCTTTTTTCTGTGCACTGTAGATTGGTTTAAAAACACAAAACTATTTCTTTAAAACTACCCACGATTTCCGGTTTGCAGTTCCTATCAATCGAAAACTAGTTTTATCACACGTTCTTATGAATTATATAACTTTAGTTTCTAACCTAGGTTATAACCTAGGTCACCAACGCTAGTAAATTCATGATGTATGGTGATGACGTCACCGAATTTGCATTTTATATGGTGAAAGAAACCATCTGCTTCTAAATTGATACTATGTTTCTACGAACTTAAATAATGGAAACTCAACAAGAACTAATGGAATAGAAATGAAGATATCAACTGGGGCAAGGTAAAATTATACTAAATTCTGAATACCACGATTTTTAAAATTTATGTATATTTGATCTTTCTTTTAGTGAATATGCTTTTAACTCATATTATAGTAAATCTAATATTATTAAGCAACGCCGGAATATACATCAAATAAAAAAAAGCATAAAGATTGTACATTAGGTACCCTGAATGTGTAGAATAGTTATGTTACGGTACTTTCGTTTCGGAAAGTGGCGAAAAATTTATTACCACAATACCCAATTTATGCACCTTGGTATAATAAGTTTCAATTTCCGTAGTACTTATAACAGCAACACCAAAAACAATCAATACCTCATTTAATTAAGCCTTACCGGTGTCTATAATAGTTCGGCGATTTTTTGTTGCTGATATTCTAAGTTTGTACCGATATTCTTTCGCTTGCCAAAAATGGTTACATCAATATATTAGTGTCATTACTACGAATACTGTCATTACTATGTATTTCGAGAATTACAGTTAATTAATTTTGTTAATAGGTGCCAATTGAAATAAAAAAATGTTTTGAATTAAAATGCTGAATTAATAGAGAAAAAGTATTTGTTCATTTATGAAAAGCATAAAAAATCGCCATATTATAATTGAGGCTAATGCTGCTTAATTATTTTTTGTAACAGCAGGCACTACTGCTGTTATAGTAATTCGCGCTTTTTGTTTATTAAATGTTAACCATACTATGATTGTAATCAAGATACATAAGGGGAAATAGATTTTAATTCCCACCGAAGGGTATGTGTACAGTGCGCAAAAAAATAAGCGGACCACTCTGAATAACTTTTGACCTATTGATCGCATTTTCACGTTCTAGGACTCAATACTAATTGATCGAGCGGGTGACCACAAATTTGCTAATTAATAATTGCAAACAATATTTTAAGTAACGAAATTAGACATAAAAACGAACTTTTCTTGAAAATGATTCAGATTTCTGATTCTATAAATATAAATATAAATATATGAGTATATATAAATATGACTATAATATAAATGAGTATAATATAAATTCCGTATAAGTATAAGTATAAGTTTTTTTATAAGTATAAGTATAAGTATAAGTTCCGTATAAGTTTTTTTTCCGTATAAGTATGAAATCATTTCATACAAATAAATGCAATAAAGTTTATTTATTCTCTAAAATAATATATTATATATATTGCTATAGTTAAATATAAGGTAATTTTAACAATGAGAGACATTAAATAAAAAAGCTAATACAAATTGTTTTCAGTCACTCCAGAGAAAAAGAACTTTTAGCTAAAAAAATAAGACATTGGAGGCTGAAAATATGATAAAAATATTCGATTTAAAGCATGTTTGGATAATACTCCTTTGCAATATTTTTAAATATGAGATGAAATATCTAATACCTTAATTTTGCTAAAATACCGAGATTTTGTTTCTCTTTTAGGCTTGATTTAAGCTACTTTGAAAATTTATACTTGAAAATCATCCTCTGCTATTATAATGTGGTTTAAATTTCATTCAAATATCTGCCCATGTTTTTCGCTTAAAGTTTATGAAAATAGAGCTTCTACTTTTCCTATTTTTTTTTCATTTTTATATTGGTTACATTAAAACAAATATGATTATTAAAATACATATAATTTTGATACTTTGCAATCTATGTTTTAGATTTCATCCTTAAATGTTTGCATTTTCTGAAATTTAAATATTTGTTTACTCAATGTTTTATTTAATGCCCCACTTCTTAGATAATGTTATTACGATAAACTGAAATAAAAAAAATATTAAAATTGTGATTTAAAAATAAAATTTTATAAATATTGAAAAATAAAATTTATGAATAAGAAATTTTATTAAAATTTTAAAATAGTTTCTTTTTAAAAAAACTAATTTTTGTATTTGAGTAGTAAGTAAGTTTACTAAAAAAAGTTATTACGGTATTTCAAAGTAGAAAAAAAATTTCTATCAGTCTTACATTGATATATAAAACTGTTTTTCAATGGATTGAGTATTTAATTTAATAAAAATAGTTCTGGCATTTTTTGAGTAAAAACTACTCTAATACACCTTTTGTCCGCTCTGTTATAGCTTTAAAATGTTATCAGAAAAATTATATTTATATAAGAGACAACGATTGCAAAATAACTTTAAATGGACCATAAAATTGAAAAAAACAACAACAACATATATATATATATTTATAAACACGCAGAAAAGAATATGATCAAAATTACCAGGATGTTGTTTTATAATATGCGATAAAA